GAATCTACTCAATTGGCAGTGAGTGAGTAAATGAAGGGAAGTCTTGAGTTTGGGATTGATTTTTTCCTTCTCTTTTAGTCCTGCTAAAAGGAGCTCTGATGGCTTAGTGGGCTCTGCACTGATGCCCTAACAAGTCCAGAGGTATGACCCGCCAACCAGTCCACAGGAGAACTAACCCAAAATGTTAGTTTAACATTTTTCTATAAGGTCACTATCAGTCAGAATTGTCTATATGAGAGTGAGTTTGTATGATTTTCAGTGCATGTGCTCATGCACATGCACCTGTGCATGTACATTTGTGTATGATTGTGTTGTGAAAGCTTGTCAGTCAAATATTTGCCTGTTGTTTTTTAATCAACTGGGACAATTTAAGCATATGGAAATGATTGTTTCTTGTCTGAGATTGTAGCCAAAGATAAGGGAGAACCCTCTCATGCCATCATAGGGTTTAAGGGGCTGGGGGGGAAGTGAGAAGAAAATCCCTCCTAAATTTGGTGTAGAAGAATTCAGGCAAGTTTTGCTGCTAAGTGAAAAGTCAGTTGTTCAAGCCCAGTAGCCTCTTGCAGAAGAATGAGCCTCTCTGCTCAGTTAGAGAACTTTGTGATTTACAAACGCTGGAGAGCAGTTCTCCTCTATCCTGGGGAGTTTGGGGTAGACTGGGTGACTGCATGTTTTAATTAAATGTAGACACCTTTTAAAAATCTTGAAGTGTGTGGAGACCTGGTTGAACTGTTCATAAACCTTGGTCTGCTAACCACAAGGTTGGGCTTTGAATTCACCGGTCACTCAGTGGGAGAAAGATGAGGGAATTTTCTTCTGCAAAGATTTATAAGTCTTGAAAATCCTATAGAGCGGGATTATACTCTTTCAGAGTCCTTGTGAGTTGGAATTGATTTGAAAGCAATTTATTTATTTTTTTTTTTGATAGACATATCACTTTTATAAGCTTAATTTATTTTTAATTAATGAATTTAGTATTACGTATTTTATTCGTGTATCTTGTATAGTATACTCTTCTGAAACCACACTTGATTTTAAGCAACAAGACATTAAACATTCTCCTTGAATTGCTCTTGCTCTGAAATATAGAATAAAGAGGGATACAATTCAGAAGGTAAGAAAAGTTGGGGAAGAAGGAAAAATGGAAAGGGGAACATGGCGAAGAACTGGTAAAAGTGCTGCTATGTTGTGAGCTTTGCAAACAGTGTCACAATTTAAAATGCATTTTGAATGTAAAGCAAATTACTCTGTAAACTTTCATGAATGTAACAATAGAAATTTTTTAATTGTTTAAATCCCTTTTAATGAAATGATGTTCAAAGACCAAAATATGAATTTTACAAAGATAAATTACATTTTCTTCCTATGAGTACTTCTTCACATGAAAAATGGCTAGAAATATATTTGCATTAAATTCTAGTGTTCACATTGACTATTTCAACATAATTCTAAACATTAAATTGCAGCATGCATAACAGAGAATAGATTTTAATGCTATAATTAAGATAAATTGCACTTACATAGGTAGAAATCATTTGAACCTCAAGTTGATCCATAGGACCCTATAGGACCGAGAACTTCCCCAATGGATATCCGAGGATTGTATGTCTTTATAAATGACAACGTAGAAATGTGATGAAGTAGTCTGTTTTCATAACTGCCTCATCACATCTCTATGCTGTGATTTACAAAGACGTAAACGAATGTATCTGTAATTAAGACAGCGAATTCCAGAGGACTCACTTCAGGTAATCTTTTTTATTATTTGGATCAGCCAACTTTTTGGTTAACAAACATTTTACCACTGTGCCAACATGGCTCCTTGAGCTTCTAGTAACACACCTATTACCATCTGAGTTAGTTAATTGTGCCAACCTGGCCGAAAATCACATGTGGGGCTAATTGAAAGGCGGAGGGATAAATGGGTGGTGAGCCTCGCCTTTCGAGTTTTCAGGTCTCTTGTTTTGTGATGGTCGCACCAGGGTGCAGCTGCCTTAGCAGGTCCCTGCTTCAGCTTGCAAGATTGACTTCCTACAAGACATCCCCAAGAGAAGCCACATGGACCTATCCTGATGCAGCCCTGGGTGCTGGAGCAGCCGTGTGGAGACCTCTGCTAGTTCTGAGATGCTTATTCGTTCACTGACTCAGCTTTCCTCCTGCAGTCAGCATCATTGCCTCTGTTTTGTGAGGTGGAGGACTTTGTGGACTGGTGTTCGATTAATGGGTTAATATTGGACTTGTGGGCTTGGGCAGCATTGGGTTGGGATGTTTTCGTGATGCACACTTTATTTATATAAGACTCTCCTATACATGAGTTGCTGTGGATTTGTTTCTCTAAAGCACCTAGACTAATAAAACATCTCTAATTGATTGCAACCTTTGGTCTTTTTTATGGTTGAAAACTAAGTCCCTGAGCTTCAGGCTCCATATTCACATTCAAAGCTCTCACTTGGAGGATAGGGAAAGCAATGAGCAAAAGAGCATACAGAAACCTTAGCAGGTTTCTGCCTACAATTCTGGGAGGACCATCCATTCATTGGGTGGTGGAAATGTCTTTTGTAGAGGCAGGTGAACAATAAGAAGTCTGAGTATGAATTTTGAATAAACAGTTGAAACAACAGTACATGTAATAGTCCTTTTTATCCTAAAATATAATCCAGAAATTTTAAGTTAAATGTGCAAATGTATGCAATTTTAAGCATTGTATTTATTTTGAAACTTTCTTAAAGATTTTGGCCACTTATATTGTCATGTATTTCAAATTTTCATTATATTTTAATTTCATTTCATTAACTACAAAATCAAGTAATGATAGCTTTCAAATAGTATATAGAGCATGTCTAGAAGATTTACATGGTAACAAACATTTTAGATTTATTGAAAAAATTCCCATATTGACATAGATTATAACAGGCCTCACAGAAACATTTTGTAATTCCTAAAGCATGCTAACAGTAATGAAATATATTGAAGTTTTTCACTGAACTAAATTTTACAACACAAAGTACTCAGCAGAAATATTGCCAATCAAAAAACGAATCCGGCTGTTAACTACAATGAGAAAGTGAAACAAATAGCTATTAAACATATGCAAAACTATTCTATTCCCATGAGTTTCAAACACATGTAAAGTTAAATGTGTTTGTTTACCCTAATATAAGGAATATAAAGAGTATATCGGCAAAGAATATAAAAAGAGGAATACATTATTTAGATAACATTTTGAAATACTCTCAATTAAAAATTCTGACTTTATACATTTTTATCATCAAAATACTGGTTATACTTCTGTAGATATGCTTCTAAGAATTAATATCACAAAAATTAGAACATGCAACTTAATATGTAGAATTTATTGTGATTTTGCTTATGTATATAAGTAATTTTAAAAACTAAATTTTCAGGAAATAATAAGTAAAACAAAATGTAATCAAACATAGACTACTATTGTACAATATTACAGCTGTATTTGTAATTCATAAACCAAATTGCAGAGCATTAAATGCAGGTGCTCTTTTTCAATTCAAAAATCATTTTTATAAACAACATATATTTGAAATTTCCTTTTTATTTATTTCTTTCATTTTTATTCCCCTGCTCTTTTACATATGGTCATTTAAATTTATCTGATGTATAGCTCTGTCTTTTTATCTATTTTTTTATGAAAGGTACTTTTGGTTTTTGCACATGAATTTTTAAAATTTATATCAGTTTTATGGTATTACTAAATTTACACTCAGAATCATTCTTAAAGAAGTATTAATTAAATTCATGATGTCTTAAACACTATCCTCTGGGATAGTCTTCCAATATCTTTTCACATAATGGGTTTTAGAGTGCCTCTACCAAGCCAATAAACAAACAGGAACTTCATGAATGTCAATTTACCAATATGTACAAATGTCATTGGTAAATAATCTGAAAATCAATGTTGCTAGGATAGAAGATACATTTGAACTTAATTCAATTCCTACTGGATTTTTTTCTGAACAGCGCCAGTAGTTAACGTTCTTACCTTCTGTGAATATGTCCTTCTTTCATCTCCACATCCCCTCTAATACTTGGCAGAGCTAAAGAGTTCAGAACAACTCCACACGTCCCTTATCTTCTAAACCACCACCTCTTTATGTGGATAAGGCAGAAAGAGCAGTAGCTACCTGGACTGTCTTCCCACGTGCAATGAATCACTAGAGCAGCAGCAAGTATAAGGCATAAAAATATTTTTAAATTACTCAGGAATTTATTGCACTAATATGATATACAATGTGGACACTTTTAGAGACATGTATTAAGCAGTTAGTAATTTTTTTAGAATATGCATTTATTATGTGTTTATATTTCCTTCCATAGTTTCCACATAAAATATAAACTTTGCAAAGACAGGGTCTGATCTATTCAATTGCTCATTAAGTAGTTAACTAACATCAAATATAGTTCACTTTTCCCTAATGAAGATAGCATCTCATGCAGATCATATCTATGCATGTCATGAAAATCCATGAGGAAACTCAGAGAATTAGGGAGAAGAATCTGCAATCTGGGCTTCAGGGACCCCACTGCCTTGGACAGTTCAGTATCTTACTGAACACGGGGACATAGGGTCATGGAGAATTAACATGTGCTCTGACCCATGTGGACTTTGTAAGGTCCCTAATGGTGCTGTAAAGACAAGTTAAAAATCCAAGATGAGAAAGAAGTTGAATAACTAAGGTAATACATCTAAGTATTACTATTTATATAATTGTTAATTTTGAAGTATAAGGGATAATTAAAACTTATCAAATAAATAAAGTTAGAGGTAAAGAGAAGAAAACATTCCCCATTCACTGTAAATTGCATGAATTATTATTTTTGTTGTCTCTGTAAACCTGCAGAAGGATTTCTTTACTATTGTTCACCAGTTCATGTTGGATAAAATTGGACTAATCATATAATTGTTTTAATTTCATCATTGTTGAGGGTGGAAAGAGTAACATTTTTATAGAGATGTGTAACCAAAATTACTTTTCAGATAATGCAAACACCTTTTGAGAACAAAGGAGTTTGTTAATTGCCTCTTTCATATCCTTATTCCGCAGGCTATATATAATAGGATTGAAAATGGGAGCAAGCACAGAGAACATCAGAGCAATAGCAGTGTCCCAGAAGGGTGTGTAAGTAGCAGAAAATCTGAGATACATGAGGCTCACACTGCCAAAAAACAGCAGGAAGACAGCAATATGGGCAGCACACGTGGAAAAGGCCTTCTTGCGACCCTCAGCTGAAGGGATGCCTAAGATCACAAAGATAATTCTGATGTAAGAAAGAGAAATAACCAGAGCTGCTATTATAATGACAAGAGCATGAATCACATCTTGCACCAGAATCACAGATGCATCCGTACAACTTAAATTCAACAAGGGGGTGAAATCACAGAAGATCTGATGGATTAGATTGGGTCCACAGAAGGGTAAAGTTGAAATCCACACAATCTCAGGTAGAAGGATGATAAAACCAAAGATACAAGAGCCTGCAGAGAGCTGAGCACATAGCCTGGAGGTCATGATTGTTGGATAGTGAAGTGGTTTACAGATGGCTACATACCTGTCGATGGCCATGACAGTCAGCAAGACTCCGTCAGTGTTTCCTAGTGAATGAAAGAAGTACATCTGCAAGAGGCAACCAATGAAGGAGATAGTCTTTTGCTTGCTGATAAGATTGGAGAGCATCTTAGGAATGGTGGCTGTGGTGTACCAAATCTCAAGGAATGAGAAGAGGCTGATGAAGTTGTACATGGGATTGTGGAGACGTGTATCCATTCTCACAGCAAAGCAAATCATGAGGTTCCCAGAAATAATAAAGATGTAGATGAACAGTAAAGGAAAGAAGTACAGGAGACCACCATCGTGGAGCTGAGGGAACCCCACGAAGACAAACTCAGTCACAATGGATACGCTTGCATTATCCATATCCCTGGTGATGCTGCCTGTGAATTAGGAATAGGGCATACCCACTAGCAGAAGAAAATCACTGCAATGTAAGCATGAATATTATTTTGGTTAGCTTTTCATATCTTTTATTAATGAAAAAAAAGTTTTAGAGAGAATATATTTAAAATATGCGCTTGATTTAGAATATTTTCTGAGTCTTAGTGCTTGAGCAATACTGGGCAAGTTACATTATCTCTATGAGCCTTAGACTGTAGATAAAAATTTATGATACCTTTGTAATAGAGCTGGTATGAAGATTCAATTAATCAATATATGAACGTGTCTAGTGCTACCTTCTCAGTAAATGTTAACTTTATTATTACATTCAGAGTCAAGTTTTCTGAAAGAACAATATAAGCATTATCTCCTTTAGATTCACTCTTAATCCCCATGTTATTTGACTTCTTTCCCTGCTAATACACAAAACAGCCTGTCCACATTTGTTGGTAATATTGCTGTTAGATGCTGATGAGTCTGAGCAAACATTCCATCATCCTTAAGATCTTTGTTGTATCTAAGGCTATTGCCACCACCACTGTGTCAGTCCATCTCATTGATGGGATTCTTTTTTTGTTAACCTTCTACTTTACCATGATTGATATCCTTTTCCAGGGACCTAATCTTCTGTTCTTTCTACTGACAGCCTACAATACATTCAATATCCATAGCCAACACTATCATCCAAAGACATTGGTCACCATTTTTCCGCTCTCACCTATGTATCAGGGGATTGAACACATGGTCTGGGCCAGGAACAGCTTAGTCCTTAAATAAAACAGTTGCTTTTTTCACACTTTAAAGAGGTATTATGCATTAGATTTTCCCAAAGAACGCCATTTCATAATTTTTTGCTGACTTTTATGGTTGTGATCCATGTAAAACAAATCCTTGAATAAAAAGACCTGACAATCTGTAACAGCTAAATCCTAAAGCAATGGAAAATTTTCATTCAGTATATTATGATTACACCTGTGACATGGCATTTCTAACTGCTTCCAAAGAAGTAGAAATCTGAAAATTAATAAGGAAGATGATATCATTTGGGTCTCTAAATGATGGTGTTGGTAAAGAATATTAAATATGCAATGTACTTCCCAAATAAACAAATTGTGTAGAAGAAACAACTAGAATGCTTCATAGAAACAAAGTGGACACTCTTCATCCCAAGTGCTTTGTATATGTTATCGGGAGGGACCAGTTTCTAGGGAAGGACATCATGTTCAGTGAAGTTGGGTGTCAGTGAAAAAGAGGAAGGCCCTCAATGAGAGCCATTAGCAGAGTGCTTGTGGCAGTCTCCTCAGCATCAGAGTGGCCGTGAGCGTGACTGGAATCGGGCGTGTGTCCTTTTGCTGCACAGAGTATCCCTGTGAAGTGGAACTGTTCGAATGGCACCTGGCAACCCTTTTCAAATATGATTTGAAAATTGAGGACTGAATAAGGATACCTGAAGAAAAACTGATGCATTTTAATCATGGTGCTAGTGAAGATTATTGAAAGTATCAGGATGGAGAAAAATACAAACAAATGTGTTTTGGAAAATGTACAGACAGAATGCTCCCTGAAAGCAAGAATGGTAAGGTTTCATGTCACAGATTTTGGACATGTTATCCTTCCTTGGGAAAAGGACATCACACTTGGTAAAGTAGAAGGTCTGTGAACAAGAAGGTGGTCCTAAATTAGACAGATTAATACAGCGGGTACAACAATGAGCTGAAACCAAACAACAGCTGAGAGGATGGTGAAGGCTGGGCAGTGCTTCATTCTGTTGTGCATCAGGTTGCTCTGAGTCAGGGCCAACTTGACAGCAGCTAACAACAGCAAACAACACTATTGCCTCAGAAATTGCTTGTTACTCCTCCTTGAAGGTTGTCTACCATGAATCATATGAAATTGATTTCTCCAGGTTTATCTTTGAACCATATGGGAGCTTTCCTTTCTATATTTTATATCTTTATATGTGTGATTTTGCAAGTCATGGACTCATCCTCTGTTACCAATTCTGTAGACAGATGTGTACTTCAGGTCATGCTCTGGTCACTAATCTCATGTCTTTTCCTTTCTCTGTTGGTGAACTCCTCCTAGGACACATCATTGTTATTAACACATAGTTTTCTCTATGCCCAGCATACATCTGTTCCCTGAACGGTAGCACAGCATTTTCAAAATTTTCAGTCTGTTACTGTCGCATGCTACAATGCAGACAGGCACTCTGCTAAGTCATTGGTTATTAACTTGTTGAACACTAACCTTTCCCTTGGAAGAGCCTCTTAATTTTTACCTTTTGTCTCTCAGGATTATTTTAAGCTTATATCCCGGACTTTGATTCCTACAGAAACCCTCTCTATTGCTTCTGTGGTATCATGTGCATGAGTGAGGTTTGATGGCTTGCTTTCTTTTCCCCAGTGTACCTTTATCAAGTTGTATGCCAACTCTCTTGGTTTTTGTTCACCTTTCTTAGCTTGTGAGCTCAGTTGGAGAATGATGTCTTTATCTTTCAAAATTCTTGGCCCTTACTTTTCATATGAATGAAACAAGCTTATATTAAGGAACCATACTGGGATCCGAATTGCAAGCATAATTAAAACCAGAAAAAGCCAAGCACAAGCCATGTAGGAAGGGAAAGTTTAAGAAATGACTCCAAAAAGGGAATTCCAGCATCACTGAGTAGCATGTTGTTATTTCTAAATTTAAATCCTCAGAAATTGACTTTCTCATAAAGGCAGATCACGTTTTTTGCAAACATCCAAGTCTCCTCAAATGTTCATTAACTGAATCTTCACAGTGTGAGTTGCCTTCCTGACCATGAGAACCCAAACTTACCTGCGCTGAACACCAGAGGAGGCCGTCTCTTTCCCTGTGGCTGTGCATGCCTGAATGGCCCTTATACCTGATAGAAGTTATCATCATAGCCGTAGGTTTCACAGGGAAATGACGAAAAGAAAGGAAGCTCCGCTGAGGTTTCCTCTCCTGAGAATAAGTAGACAATCACCCCCGCCCTCATGGGTTTAATTAGGTTCCACCTGCACTCTCCTCTTGTTAGACTTAGAGGTTCAGGTGAAGCCAGTGCTCAAAGGAGACTAGCAGATTCTGCTGAAGGTTGTTAGTCCTCTGCCACTCTTCCCATTGAACATTCTCGGATAAGTGAGGCAGCAGAGTGAGCCATCTAAGCTGAGAATGGACAGACCCCTCCTTCTTTAATTAGCACTGGAAATGAACCTTACTAAAGATGATTTCTTGATAACAAGTGGAGTATTTAGGAGAAATAAATAAGTGGAAAATAAATCCTTTGAAAATAAAAGGATGTCTTTCCTTGAATTGTGATGTTAGTGTAGGCTGTTACATATATCATGGACGCCCAGTAAAGTGAACAAGTCTGTCTTGGCAGGAGTAGAGCCAGCATGCTCCTTAGAAAGGAGGCTGGTGAGATTTCACTTATGTACTCAGAGCATGGCATTAGGTGAGATTTGTCTGTGTCTCAAGAAGGAAATCACGTTGTTTAAGGAAAGAGTCAGGGAAAAAACTAATAAGAGGAAGAGTCAGCAGTATGGATCCACACAGTGGTGGTAACATGGATTCACACCTAGCAAACATAGTGAGGGTGATGCAGGAACGCACAGTGCTTCCTTCTGCTCTCTTTATACCTGAGCAAACTTTACATGTGAAAACAAAACTTATCTTAAAAATTATTTAAAAGAAAATAGAGCTTCTGATAGGGATGTCATTGGAGAGTTTGTGTCAATATAAAGTGAAAGGACAATTCCACTGTCTCCCACCCTACAAAGGTGAGTGTGTCTCTCTACATTGAGTAATGCATGTTAAGCTGCTGGCTTTCCTATTGATCAGCTAATCTGTCAACCTTTCTTCAACAATTTATTCTTGAATTAATTACTCTGTATTCTATACATTTGATTCACTGCTCTATTGAAAACTCAATGTTCTTTTGCTTTCCAAAATAATTTGCTTAAACCAGTTTCTTTTACATGAAATATGTATGAAGCCTTACAATAGAATGATGCACACTTTCTCCCTGTTAGTTAATCTTTTTGTCAATCACTGGGGCCTATTTTCTTTGTCTAAATTTTTTTCTCCCCAAATTTAAAATTTTCAATTGGTCATATTATTTTTGCATAACATGACATGCTCACTTTTGTTAAGGTAACTCAAGAATTTCCAGCTAAAGGGAATTTTTCTTTATTTTTGTTGCTAATTTCTCTGTATCTACTTTGTTTCTCTTGTTCCAGAATTTCTAGAATTTCCTTATTTTATCTACAGAATCTATTAATATATAGTACAGTATTCTCTCCTTCTGTGATATTTTCTCTTAATAATCTGCTAAATTACTAATTTCATAGTCAACAGTATTTAACCTGTTTCTCAATATCTCCATTGCATTTTATATTCTTAATATGTTTCACTTGCTGTGAAATTTTGCTAATAAATATAACTTTTAGAAATCTCACTGAGAGTTCAAATTGTCTCTCTCACTCTGCTCCCTTACTGCCATCAATTCAGTGCCTCCTTTAAGCAAGCCTACACGACAGGGTAGACCTGCCCCTTACTTTCCATCAGTCCTCTAGCTCGTTTCTCTGATTTAGTTTGAATGCCTTGATGAATGCAGTCTGCAGGACAGAGCCACTGTGACTTGGAAAATTTCATGGGTCCATTAGCCCATTCCCTCCATCCAAAGTTTTCAGTGGACCATGGTTCTTCACGTATGTTTCTCCAAGTTTTGAATAATTTCCTACAACTTCTTTTTCTAGAATTTCATCAACGTAATTCATAGACTAGCTGTCCCTCTCTCTTGGCCTATATCTGGGAGCTTAGTACATCCTGCAGTTAGATATTATCTATAATCATATATGAGGAAATGCTTCAACTCTTGGAATCTGTTTTGGTTACCCTTTTTTATCTTTACCCACTCAAGATCTGTATTTAGTGATATTTTTGTATTATTTTTTTTTGTTTTACTTCTCCTTCATCATAGTATTATTTCCTCTTTTGTTTAATATACACTATTGATCATA